CCACGGCCTAAGTACCAGCAACAACGACTCAGCAGGAGAACGACTCCAGCGGCATCCAGTACCAATGCAGCAGCTGTTGTACCGGTCACCACAGGGATCCTCCCCGCCTGTCCGGTCCAAGGGGACCACGAGACTTTGGCAGCTTACCTTCAGCGGGTGCAGGCATTCACAGATGCCGTCGCCACAGCAAAGGCACAGCAAGAGGCAGCAGAAGCAGAACGTCAGAGGCTTGCCAATGAGGCAGCAGCCCAAGCTCAGCGGACTGATGAGGCTGACGCAACGGCTTGAGACAAGCGGAACGCCGCCAGCGCTGAGTCCGTGATTCAGAATGAGAGTCAGTGGACAGCACTACTCCAAGGCATGACCTTTGTGCCTACGGATGAGCAGGCGGATCCGACAACGGCGGAGGTGGAAAGGAGTTACCTGGCTAACCCGATGCTATGTATGATGAGGGCGGTAATGTGGAACAACATGATGCAGACAGTGCACGAGCTCACTGGATGGCAGCTGAGACAGACGCAGCAGAGAGAGTCTTCAACTTTGACAGCCGCCATCCGTGCAGCAGCACAACATCAGCAACAACAGTAACAGCTGTTGGCATCCACCATCACATGCATCAACAGCATTGAGGCTAAGCCCTCAGCAGCGCCAGGCTGCACGACGGACACGGCGAAGCAGCTTGGAGAGCGCATCGACCATGTCGTCAACATCATCGGCAACCTGGGTCACTTTACCAGTCCGGCCACAATCAGCAGCACGCTGGCTGCCATCAAGACGGACATCACCAAACTGCAGTCACGATCGGAAGCCGCCTCGAAAGCATACAAGATGCCACGCTTCAACATTGGCAAGTTCGACGACTAGAACAAAACGGATGCATTTTAAAGGGCCTTTACCCGATTCACACCCTGTTCGGCAAATACAGTATAGAGGGTTCACTCGCCAGGGCCCAACTCGTGAAAGCAGATAAAAGGACATGTTCTCTGGGTCAAAAGTCACATCCTAGTTAAACTAAAAGCCAATGTCAAAGGCCACAGTTGTGCCCCTGAATGAACAGTTGCAATGTTTAGATTTGGAGGTCACATCTGTTCGTCCAGAGGGTGTGTAGGACATGTCTGTTCAGGCAAGGGGTGTGCCTGTTCGTGCAGTATGTGTGCCTGTTCATGCAGTATGAGTGTCTGTTTGTGAAGAATGTGTGTCTGTCCAAAAGGAAGTCAAAGGGCAGGTTCCCAGTTTTGTCTAAGTCTAATATGGGGTCTAGGTTCAGACACCCAGTCCGAAATCCAGGCCAGATGGCCGCAGCAGCAGCAGACCCTGAGGGGAAAATACTGGGACACACACATATGCATGGGTCTGGGACTGAGGAAGGCCCAAAGTGCCAATACAGACCAATGCAGACGTCGCCAGGGGAAGCCAGCAGTATAAAGCAATAGGCCAGCCTCCCTTGACATCAGATTCCCATTGGCATATTGGCGTGGAAGTGCTGTGTGCACTTGTGCGCTGGCTAGCTGGGTTAGCGCTGGAGGAGAAGCTGCACTGGAGGAAGAAGAGAGCTGGGCGCTGGCTTGCAAGTTGCAGCCATAGCAGCCCTACTAGTTAGTATAGTTAGTGGGATAGGACTTAGTCTACAATGAGTAGCATTCAAAGTAGATCTTCATAGTAGGAGTGTGCTGTATGGTGGGACAAGAGAACCAAGACTGAGATCCAAGAGAGAGAAGAGAGAGAGTGGGGTAGGATCTGGCTATGGTGGATGCTTACCTGCTGTGCGCTGTACTCGGGTTTTGAAGGTGGCGCTGGCTGAGCCAGGCCCCATTCATGAGACGAAAGGAAGAAACTCGTGATAATGTTGGGCGCTGAACTTTGGATCTCGATGTACTCTTGTATAATGTGTTAATGATTAATTGAGCTGCGCATCTTGGTTCTATCCCATCTCATTTGGACTATGTGTGAGCTTCATCTTGTGTGAGTCATTGTCCATGCATGCATTGTGATACACTCCAGCAAGAGAAGGACAGTCAGGTCCCTTGCACATTGGCATGGTGGCAAGCCTTCGTCACCGAAGCAGCTTGCCACCACGTGCCGGACGACCTAATGATGACAGCACTCCACCTCCAACTCATTGGAGGAGCACAGGCATTCATGAACCACACAGCGGCCAATCTGGGGAGCACCATCGCCAACCTGCACACGCACATCAAGTGGGAGCGGCGCGAGCAAATGTGGCACATGTAGTAAAAGCGGCCATGAACGATGTCTACTCCGGCTCGCAAGGGAACATGTGAACACGAGACTAGACGATCAAGTGGCAAAAGATAGTAACCACTCCTGGTTTCGACTCAAGTTTCCCAACCTGCGATCCAAATTCTTTTCGCGATCGTGCGCAGGACTGTGGTCGGCACTCGGTAATGAGAACGACTACGCCTCATTCAAGGCCATCCTTGACCGTGCTAACCTGGTCATCCAAACGGATGACAAGGCCGCCAACGAAAGGTAGTCCCAGCCGCAATATGTGGCTAAGCAAGGCTACCAAAGGCCAACGCATAACAATGCAGTGATCGCCGATGGATCACCTGATCTCCACGCTGCAGCGGTCTCCTCGAGTGATGGCGGAGTTGTCGCCGCGCTCCCACCGAAGCGTCCTAAAAGGGTTCGGAAGAACAAGGCAACACAAGGGACGACAGCGACGGAGACTGGGCAGCAACCATGGACAGCACACAACATCACCAAGGAAGTATGGGTATTGCTTTTGGTGCAACAGTGTCAACCACACTGCCGCACAATGCCCGGACAAGGGCAAGGCAAAGGTACCCCGTCCAGCTAAGGAGAGGGAGGGTGGTGAAGAACATGAATAGTACTATTGGAGAGGACTTGAAAAGCGGACAAAGAAGATGACACAGACAAAGACAGTGAGACAAAGATAATGATCTGTCAAGGTGTGTCAAGAAATATGAGAACGTGACCTAGAGACAGAAAGATGGGGGTTTGAGAGGGAAGGAGAAGGGGGGGAGAGATGGTTCACGGGAGCTCTGATAACCAATGACATGCTCACTGCAGTTCTGATTCCCTTCACAGCCTCTCCCTTCTGTTCTGCGGAACTCAGAGGTGGTGGGAAGAAGCAGGACGGGGAGAAGATGGAGAGGGTGGTTGGTGAAGAACATGGATGTACTATTGGAGAGGACAAAGAAGGTGACACAGACAAAGACAGTGAGACAAAGATAATGATCTGTCAAGGTGTGTCAAGAAATATGAGAACATGACCTAGAGACAGAAAGACGGGGGTTTGGGAGGGAAGGAGAAGAGGGGGAGACATGGTTCACATGAGGGATGACAGAGTGAGAAATCATGCAGGTTCACATCTCCAGTGTATGATGATGTGATCACATTTTTCCAGGGCACGAGAGAGAGAGAGAGAGAGAGAGAGTGTTACATGCACAGATATGTGATGTTCGTAATAACCGAGGAACTGCAATGTGATGAAAAGGACTGAATGTACAATGTAGTGCGAGTAGAATCTCGACAGACAATGTGCATTCTCATACATACAAAAGGTGCTGAAAAGCGCAGGGAAGACTTAGATACAAAGACTGACCTCACTCACGTAGTTACAAAGTAGCGAAGCAGAATGCGAGAATACTAATAACTAGTCCGATCGATGTTTGAACTCAGACCAAACATGCATCGTACCCATCACCAGGCGTGAAGGAGCCTGGCGCTGTACTCAGGAAGAAAGGGCCAGGTCCAGACATACACAGACGAAGAGGAAGGGATCAGATGAAAGGAGGGAGATAGATGGGAATGTCGTCAACACCAAGTCTTTGTCACCAATCCCAAATAATCCCTCGTTGCCATGTCTGAAGTCCCAAAGTTGAGTCTGGATCCGAATGTCACCAAGCTCTGTCTCTCTTCTCTCGTAGTCTGCAGATGCAGGGAAGTCAGAAGTTGAGAGGGAGAGAAGAAGATGGTGGACTGAGAAGAGGAAGAAGAAGACTCTCTCTCTCTCACTGTTATGAACCAGATACTAACCTGTGATGTTGGCGCTGTGCTGCAGGTACCTCGAAGACGAAGCTGGAGCAACGGCCCTGCAGGTAGGTACCTCTGGCCTCCGCCCAAGCTCTCTCTCTCTCTCTAGTACTACCTAGCTATGGCGCCCAGCGCTGGAGACTACAGCTACCTACTGCGCCCAGCGCTGAAGACTACAAGCTAACGCTACTACTACTACACTGCAGCGCTCTCTCTAGAGTGCTGCTCCCGAATCCTGAAGACTACAACTGCCGACTGCCTACCTCGGAAGTGCCTGGGAAGTCCTATGTACTACCTCGGCCTGCCTCCTGACTACTGGAGGGCGAGTCAGGCCGAGGAGGCAGCTCTTGCCAATGCCGAAGTGTGCCAGGGGCTGGCGTGCAGCAGCCTGCTGAGGCTGGCGTGGGAAACAGACTAATAATAGTCTGTTCCCGAAACCCTGGTTCGGTGCCTGAGTCTCAGGGCCGGTCGTTCTGATGAACAACCGAAAATGGCCCTTCGTTTCAGGCTAAAAAGGCTGTTGCCATTTTTAGTCTGAAACGACACAGGGATAGGCCCTGGAATTCAGGCTTTCGGGCTGAACCGACATGGGGCCTGTAAGCCCTGGATTTCAGGCTTTCGGCCTGAAGTTCAGGCTTTTGGCCTGAAGGACGCAGGCCTGCAAAATGGCCTGCGTGTGCACGCGCAGCATGTAACAGAGAGAGAGGTGCGCGTTTCAACCACTCTCAATTGCTCATACGTACCAACATGTACACACCCAAAGAGCATTCAAGTTTAATCTCTTATGGACCAGTGTGCCTGTATAATTTGGCAGTTTCCGGCTGGCTAAGGGTGGGAAGGCAAGGGTTCAAGGTTAGAAAACCTGGGTCTGTATAGCGGGTGTTGTATTTAAATCTCTTTGACAGATACGACCTTTGTATGCCTGGTAAGCTCTGCTGAGATGTCCTAGTATTGTTGGGTGGTTTTGCGTTTCGCTACAGCACCCTCAGTTGCTGATGCACTAGTCAAGGAGGCGCTGTCGAAGCTGTACCTCGACCCTAGAATCTGGGTTTACACCCCTTTTGAGGTTCAGAAAGAGCTCTACCAGTCTCTGCTAAGGCAAGTTGATCATGATCCAGGGAGGCTGCGGATCACATGCGGACTGCAGAGAGTTCTGGACATTGTTCGACAATTCTACTGGGACAAGCCCTGCAGCTCTCAATCTTATGCCACAAGGCCTCTCCTCCATCCTGTGACTCACATCCGAATTGGCGAGAGGCCCAGCTCTCAGGAAGTTGCGAAGCTGAGAACTATGGTGCTTGGACTTGCGGACAGAATGTTCAGGTATGTGCTCAACTGAGAGGACTTCTGCTTTTTTTTTCTTTTTTTTTTTTGAATACTGATTAATTATATTCTTTGCTGAAAACTGGGTTAGCCTTGAGAGGAAGTCCTAGATCATCTAGGACGAGTTTATATTCATCATAAGTAATAGGTCATGCATAATGGATCTTCACACTGAATTGTTGATTGGCAAGTGACACTGAACTGAAACTGAATGCTGGCAAGTACATTGGATTGCGCACACTCAAGTGCATCGGCACCTGGGAATCCTGCTGTCTTGATCACCATCCATCAATCTGCCTCAAGTGGTATCTCACTGGCTGCATCTGCATCCCATTGTCCTCTCTCTTGAGCTAGAAATAAAGCCTGCTCCAGCTCCTCGTAAATTATCAGTATGCTGCTGGTGTAACTTTTGTTTCTTCCCTGAATCCAAGGAGGCCTGGTCGAGGGTCAGTGATGCCCCGTTAGAGTGTCGGCTGATTTGAGAATGAAGGAAGTGATGAATGAAATGGTAGTTTTCCTCCAGCCAAACTGGGCAATGAGCTGGGAAAAGGAAGTCCTGTAAATGATCAGTATGTCTGGGTCAAGATGTCTGAATTTTCAGATGAAGAGGGGGTGTCATGCAAACTTCTTCCTCTCTATTACGGTCCCTGGGAAGTTCTGGATGTGATTGGTAAGGATGAGTTTGGTCCTTCATTTGTGATTGTCATGCCTCTTCATCTGCGCACGTACCCAGTCGTTCATGCATCAAAGTTCTTTCTATATCATGATGCTAAATCCTTCGAATGCCGTGAGAACATGATCCCTCATGCAATCAAAGGCGGTCACGAGGTAGATATAATTATAAGCCACATTGGGGAGGGACGTAACAAACAATATCAGGTTCATTTCATGTACCACCCGTTGGATGATCTCTACTGGATCTCTCAGAAGGAACTGCTGTGCCACGCACCTCGTGTTGTGAAAGCATACAAACGACAGATAGCTTCCGATGCTGTTCCAAAAATCTCTGCAAACTCACTGCTACTGAGTACTCACGGAATTTCTTCGCTATGTTCGCTTACGGCACATCCATCAGGGACTCAGAATGAGTTACTGGCTCGAAGGGACCTCGCTCTTGAGGCGGGGGGGTAGTGCAAGGACCTGCCAAACACGGACTGAGACACGCAGCTGATTTCTGAGTTTTGCCAATGGAAATTATGGAATTTATGCCTTGCCGAGTTTCCCGCTTGTTGCTGAGTTTTCTAAGTCTGTGTGTGTGTGTGTGCTTGCTGGTCTGCATGCCTGTCTGAGTGTTTGTCGGTTCGAGTGCATGTGTGACCTGCAACGGTGCTCGTTCATATGGAAGGCCCGAAGGGCCGGTGCTCACCTGTGGCCGTGACATTGAGGGTTGCAGCAGGGAAAAAAGTGGCGGGGAAATAGGCCCGTGACACTTACATCAGTGGAAAAACACAAGTAGCAGGTAGGGAGGTAGCACACCAAGTAGCGTTCGATGTGTCGTGTACTCGAGGCCGACCAGAAGAAGACAAAAGTTGGCATTTTTTAGGGGTAGAGTAGGTCTAGGCGGGTACCAGTCCAAGTAGTCTGAGTCTAGGGCCTGTACGGGCAATATCAGAGTCTGCAATGATGTTTCCCTCCGAAAGGGAGGAGGTACTGGTTGCTTGGAGGCCGCGTGGCCTCACCGCCCAAGAGGCAATCAGGCCGCTATATCTCCAGGAGGAGCGAAGTAGCGCTCCTCATTCTTCGGTGTGCAAGTTTGGGGACACATTGTTGGAGCGCTGGCTGGAGCAGCGCTGGGTGAAGCAGCACTGCTGGGGAAGGAGCGCCCAGCTTCCCACCTTGGCTATGGTGGTGGAGCTCGGGCTGGAGGAGGAGGAAGACGAGGACTAGGAAGTGGGGAAGGACAGAGGTACTTACCTGGCTATGGTGGATGTTCTTCATCACCTTGGTGGTTGCTGCATCTGGAAGGCCCCAGTTGGGGTAGATCTACACGAAGAAGCTTCGAGGCAGAGCCAGGCATGGCGGCCTGAGCCAGAGCAGCCAAAGCTGCTTTGAGTTGTCTTTTGCACAGCAGGGCAAGGCCCTAGCAGTCCGCTATAGCCTCGGCCTTCGGAAGAGGAAGGAGAAGAGTGGCCATGGCTATGGTGGACCTTATGTTGTACCTGCAGTAGAAGAGGGATTCGAACATTCATTCTGGTTCAGCCATTCAACATTATTATTATTATTATATTGTGAATTAAAGGGAGGAGGGGTGGGGTGGGGGGGGGGGGGGGGGGGGAGTGTGTAGAAAAGGAGGAGAGTGGTTGGCAATAAGAAATGAATTATCATTGGTCTTTACTGGCATACATCTTCTTCTTCTTCTTTCCCTCTCTCTCCTCTCAAGTTCAATTGGACGGCGATGTACTTTCTCATGAATTTGTACTTCGAAATTGGGCAGGATCATAACAGCTGCACAATTTAGGAGTTTAGTCGAAGTGTTAAGAGTGTCTGGCGGCTTCAGCTGCACACAACAGCTTGCATCGCTCAACCTTTGACACTCTGATCCTGGTTTCTCCTCTCTCTCTCTCTCTCTCTCTCTCTCTCTCTCTCTCTCTCTCTCTCTCTCTCTCTCTCTCTCTCTCTCTCTCTC